ATAGCTTAGTCGTCAAGGAGATTCAAAACCTTTGTAAGGTCATTAGTTCAATTCTCACTAGCTACAATCTTTTTTAACTTTTTTTTGTTTTTGAATTCCCTTAGCGGAAATCCTGCCTCTGCCACTGTCGGTAGCATTGACAATACAACAATAATAACTACTACTGCTCTTCAAGCCCAAACTAGTTGCCTCCTCAAGAATGGATGAAGGAGGAGGATTGGGTGGCCAGTGCAATACTAGTCAATAAATAGCTTATACTATGATCCCTGAATTCTCAATATCAGTTACCGCTCCTAAGAATGGACAAAGAAGGAGGACTGAGTGGCTAGTGTAATACTAGTTAATTCATGATAGCTTTCACTATGATCATCCCCTGATTCTCAATATCAGCCATGACAGGACAAATCCGTGATCCCTCATTGTTAATATCATCATAAACAAAAGACCAGCAAGCAAGATAGAAACATCTGATCCAACAACTCCCAGATAATTCCTGGTATATACATGGTTCAAAGAGTAAGCAGACACAGCATACACTAAAGCATAACCAACAAAGACATAACTAACATGACATTACCATCCAAAGAAACCACTACTAAGACATGGACTAATGGAAGCAAAGGTATCCAACTAGCCATTAAAGACAACCAAATCGACGTCAAAATTTAAACAAGCCTGAAGAAGCAATGGGCTGCATTGAACAAGGAATCTGCAATGGCTTCAGCAAAGGATCAGCTGCATCCACAGCTAAACCAGTGTCATTAATAACATCATTTAAATACCTCAGCCTATCATCCAATTCCCTTGCCTGTGCCCTCAGCACATTATTCTGTGCAGTACAAACTGTATATCTCTCTGTGGTCTCTTCAATTTTAGCCATAATGTTCTTGTTAGCAGCCTGTAATCTGCTCACTTCCCCAGTCAGATCTTGCAGAAGCTTTTGCTTCTTCATCCTCGAGCGCCTCGCGGATTCCCTGTTAGAAATCATCCTTTTCCTCTTCTTTTCATCCATTCCTGCATACCTTTGATCATCTTCTGATGCAGATGAACTAGCACTCTGCCTTAAAGCTGACATTTTTCTTCAATATTGTGGCTATAAATTCAATAGCACCTCAATTCTGTGATTTCAGAAATGCCAATTTGTACTTTTGGGACAATCGAAGAGGTTCTTTTGTTCTTTAATAAAAGAAAGTTTCTATTCAGAGGGTGTTTCCAAAAGGGTCTTCATGAAAAAACATAGAAATGATAGAGGAACAATACAGAGAAAGATTGAAGAAGACAAATGCCTAAAAGAGTGGTGGAAATAACAGATATCATAGATTGATTCCTAACTAGAGAAACCTCAAATTCATTGTCGAAAGTAAAATCAGCAACAAATCCAAAAAAAAAAACCACCTTGGAATCTCCTAACAGAATACAAACAACAAAGTTAGAAATATAATTTCAAGATATGGGTTTGTCAGAAAAAGGCAAAATCTTTGTTTGAGACAATGATCAAAGGTTGTCAATACCGAAGCAGATTGAGAAAAAGGGAAACAGGAGGAAAAAAGAAGCAGAAATCAGTAAGCCAAAAATAGGAAAGAAGATAATGAACGACAAGGACAAAAACGGTAGGTGGAGATAATTAAGGAAGAGATTAATAAGGAGAAGCCAGAAAGTTATTTTGGGAGGAGGAGAAGAGGATTACGTTACTCAACCTATGAAAGGTGATTTTGAACTGGTACAGGATAGTTTGAAGGCGAGAAGAATGTTCGTGATGACAATTGTAATGCACAGCAGTGGAATACTATATGAGTATTATTTCTTCCTTTTAAGGAAATTATATTAATGTTTATGTTTATCCCTTTTAAGTCTTTATATTAGAAATTCCTAACTAGTCTTTGACTGTAAAAAAAAAAAGGAGAAGAAGAAGAAACCCGGTGCACTAAGCTCCATCTATGTAAGAGGTCCAGAAAAAGATCGGACCACAAGGGTCTATCATACGCTGCATTACCCAATATTTTTACAAGAGGATGTTTCCACGGCTCAAACTCGTGACAAGTCTTACCCTATATTTCTATAAGAGGCTATTTTCACGGCTTAAACCCGTGACCAACCTTACCTTGCATTTCTGTAAGAGTTGTTTTCACGGCTCAAACTCGTGACCTTCTGATCACACATCAGCAACTTTACCAGTTACGCCAAAGTTCCCCTCCCGATAGCAAAACTTATTAATAATATAATTAAAATGCTCATTTGTATTTCCACTTATTGCTTTTATACTTGGAATCCAAATTCCAAACCAGAGTAAGAGAATTTGAAACATGAATCAAATGGAAGTTTAAAGAGTCGTCAATTTTGCCTTAATTTTCATGGCAAGGGAGGAAAAATAATTTTCAACAAATAGATTTTTTGGCACTTCTTAATTTTTCTCAAGTTGACTAAACTCGTAAATTCTGAATGACAGAGGGTTTTTTTTGTAAGATCTATCTATCTATATATATATATAAAGTTAGGAATGAAAAAGGTGATATGGCATACTTCATAGTATATGTGTTCTATTTATCTTTATTCTCCTTTTTTTGACTTATTCTTTCTTTTTTTCCTTTATATATCTTTTTTTTTTTTAAATCCACATCCCATAACTTACACCTCCTAGTTAAGAATTAAGATTGAAGAATGTAACGGTTCAGCATTAAAAAGAAAGGATCCAACCATTGCAATTGTAAAAAATAAAGTATAAGGCAGTTTCAATTATGAAAATAATGACAGTAATTAAAAGCTACAATAATCTTTCTATTTATTCCATTTTTCCAGTGTTTTCTCTTCATCAAGTGTAGCACAAAGAACATACTCAACAGAGAAGAATTATCTCGCCTAACAAAGTAAGAGTTCATCTACAATTTCACATGGCTCTTCATTTGCTTGATATGAATTCTGACTTCTTAATAAATAAACAAATTTTTGGGGAAGAAGATGAAATCTCTCTTATATTTAGTGAGAAAGTTTTTTATAATATATATTTTCTTCTCGAAAGGGATTTATTGGAAAAGCAAGAAGACCATATTTCACTACGCTATATCACCAGACCATGGTGCTTACTCATGATACCATGTATATGTTTTTGTTAATTCTTATTCTTCATCTTTCTATTTTATTAAGGTATGTTTATATTGTTTAANATGGCTTATGCCCCCGCTCCACACACTCTCGGATTTTGATTTATTAGTTTTGCAGATATTAGTTTATGAGATTTGGCTAACAATCAATTATGCACTGTAGTTGTTCTTTTTCCTGAAATCTTATCTATCATATCATATATGCAGTTTTTAGGGTAATGTTCTTTAGGTTATAGCATTATTTTCAAATTAAAACACAAAAATCTCCTTTTAATAATATTAACATGAAGTGGATGTAATAATTATTTTTGTAATTTTAAACCTTGATATCTGGGGAGAATTAATTTGAATCTTAATATGTTTCTTTACATATTCTAAATTGACCAAGACTGGCTACTTGACTCATGCTTCATTGAACTCTATTACACATATGGGTAAACAAATTCAAATATAAAAACTTTTTTATTGCGTTAGGTACAATTTGACTTATTGCTTTTGTATTAGAGGGGAATTCTTCTTTTTATATATTTATACTAGCACGAAGCCTAATTAATTATTAGCTAAGTGACTTTGGATATAAAATGATTTTTTTTTTTAAAAGGAACAATTGATATTGTTATATTGGAGAATATGTAAAAGATAAAGTTGATCTTACTATTTCCTTTATCATTCATTGAATGATGTTGAGATATAGAATAGACTTGATTAGACTTACTTTTTTTCTTTAAACATAATACTTACTTTGTTAATTCATAAATTTAATATTTTTGGTATAAAAAAAAAAGCACAAGAATAAGAGTTACTATTTTAGTAAATATTAAGGATGACTTTGAAATTAACAATTATTGTTGCTTCCTTGATTAGTAAAGATAAATTTTTTATAACAAAAATTCTAACAATTATTATTTATTCATATTTTGATTTCCCTTTAACGATCGCGCGAAGTGACGGGTAAATTAACTAGTTGTAAAGTAAAGATGGAATTTCAGCCTAACTGATTGCAACTCTAATCACAAATCATTCAGTTAGATATTCAAAATAATAATTAATCGAATAGTAATCATTTTAATATTTAAATAATGTCAAAGTTTGTTGAATTGGATAAGGGTAGCAACGGATGGCGCGAAAAAGATAGATTAGGATAGGACTGAACTTTATTATTTTGTTCTGGATGTAGGGATTATTAAATGCTTAAAGCGTGGATGAGATTAGATGAATGAGGTAAATAATTCTTTCATTTTTTTTCTCATACAATTTGGAGCTTTGATTTAAGAGGGGTTTGTTTGTAATTTCAAGAAGAACAATCAGTTTAGGAGTGCATTAGAACTTCTTCTAATAGGCCCTCGTTACCAGAATGGGTTCGTTTCCTTGTTTAATTTACCCATAAGGAGCCCTTTTCAGAAAAGTCTTCTAGATATCTCGACTAAAAAATAAGTAAAAGCTTCTAGAGACAATATTTTGGTCAGAAGCATGTCGCAAACAACGATTGTTCGATATATTATTAAATTGAATGAGTAATAATTTTGTGAAGTTCTGTCGATAAATACAACAGTCCTACAATCAAGCGATATGCAAACTTATCATGAACAAGGTCAAAGCATAATAGAAACTAGAAATTACAATGATTCAACTCTATCTCTTGTAATCTTCTAGGTTACGCCCACCAGAACTTTACCAAGAAGCAAACAACACACGCATTACCTTTTTTGGGGGAGGGGAATTAGTGCGCTCTCTATTTCAGTCTATATGAAAAATAGTAAATACTACAACAACAGAACAAAAAACCCAGTTTAATCCCATACATGAGGTCTGGGGAGGGTAGTGTGTACGCAGCCTTACCCCTATCCTATAAAGGCAGAGAGGTTGTTTCCGAAAAACCCTCGGCTAAAGAAACGGTAAGAATAAAGCAACAAGCAATAACAACAGTAATATAATAATTAATGGAAGCGAGTAACGTGACAAAGTAATAAAAGAACTACAGAGAGAACACAAGCAATGGGGATTTCAGAACTTGGTTGGATAGTTCTTTCATGCATTTTTACAGTACCAAATAGATTAGTAAGGGTAAAAGAAGAAAAAGAAGAGGATTCCATTCCTGGTGATTCCACTAAGGAAGCATCAGGTTAGAATAAGCAGATTTGAGAATTCTATACCAATTTTCCAGCAGAAAAACATCAAGCTTCTGTTCCTGGCTCCTGCATTCTCTCTTGAAAAAGTAACAAAGAGTGCCTCCTCCAGTTCCCTACTTCAGTCACACAATTCTCTTCAAGAATACTCTTTATTATCTTTCTCTAACTTTCTCATCGAGATGTTGATACAGAGTATTGTTCCAAAAACCTGATCAAATCAAAATGTCATGCCATGTTTTGCAGAATAGATATATGAGGCTCAACGTGAGTACTCCTAGCCAGACAAGAGTTATCTTGGCATGTCGCTCACCATAAATCACATTGTGGAACGTGGTCATCAACAAGTCAAGGATCCAGGAAAAATATTCCATCACGGGCCTCTAGAACGCTACAAATTTTGCAATCTACACCACAAAATCATATTTCTCGAAATGCCCGAGGAATTCCAACTCATCGTTGTACCTGTCAGCCTAAATGTTATTTCAGGCACAGATCCCAAAAAAGAAAGCACAACTACTTACTTATGACAGTAAGACCTTGAAGAGGATTTTCCAAGCACAATTAAAAGGTTAATATCAAAGCAAGAGTAACATACTATGATTTCCAATGGGCAAGCTAGAATACAGTGAAGAACAATCTGGCATTAGATCAGGAACAGATAATAATTCAAAAAATTTAACAGGGGTCCATTATAATTCTTAATTTTATTTTAAGGAGGAAATGAAATAAATAGATAAGAACAAGAATTTTCAATCAGAAATCCAAAGACATTAGTTTATGGGCGAAAAACTTCACGTCATATATTTGACCTGGTCAGCGGAGATAAAGCCTTTGAAGGCCATGACGTGTTGAACTTACCCTAAAAGGTCGAGGTCAAGTAAGGAAGGCAAATTGTCGTCGAGGACGAGGTGGCTCGACAGAAGACGAATACCCGACCTCAGTACGCAGTAATGGCTAGTTTAAGGATTTAGATTTCCTAAGAGAATATTCTTCTCTGTTGTACTATTTAGGGTTTTATGGCCCATATACCCTTATAAATAGGAAGAGATAGAGATGTAGTTCTAGAAAGGGAATCAAACATTTCTGTAAAGAACAACATTGACACTATCTGTGAAGATTCTCTCTTTATTGAATACATACAAAGTTTACCTTTATATTCCTTATCTTCTATCTTTCTCTCCCGATCCAAGAAGAATCGGAAAATTCAATTGCTTATCATCATCCATCATTGTCAGAACGCTCAATGGAAAATCTCACCCTTGTCGGGTGAACCTTGTTCTATTTATTACTTAAATGTCATTTATTGCTATCTTTCGCGTTCTTAAGTCATTATTGCTCTCAGACACTCTTATCTTACAACACACATCTAATACTCTCCATAAAAATATCAGATCTGCTACTTGGATATTAATATTGACTTGGATTAATCATTTTCTCTACAAATCTAATTGTATTTAAACCTAGATCTAAATTTTGGGTTATACAGTTTGGCGTCATGTGTGGGGGATTTCTTAGTCAAATTTTTAGTTTCCATTCGGATTTACAACTTTCGTGACTTGTTAACCTAACGTGTTGTAAAGTTATCCTTTCTCTCTACGAAGCCGCAGTGTCGACCATAGAGGACCTCGATCCCGTCCTGCTAGACCACAGCGACCCCAGCAAAAAGGCCTACATTGGTTGCAAACTCCAAAACCCAGGTAAATTTAGTCAATTCTTAATAATTAGCAGATTTATTTGCCTTTAGCCATGCAGATAGGCCCTGCATCACCAAAGAGATAGCCACGCACAAGCTAAATGTCGACCCCTACTACCCCCAATAAGGCGGGTCCAGCGAAAGTTCAACCCCACCATCAATGAAGCCGTCCACGAGGAGGTAGAGAAATGATTAGCCAATGGCTCTATTAGGGAGTCTAAGTACCCCAAGTGAATTGTCAACGTGGTAATGGTCAAAAAGAAGAACGGGAAATGGATGATGTGCGTGGACTTACCGATCCGAACAAAGTCTGCCCAAAAGATTCTTTCTCATTGCCACACATCGACCAACTCATCGACACGATAACAAGACATGAGTTGCTAAGTTTCCTGGACACTTACTCAGGCTACAATAAGATACTCATGGAGGAAGACGACCAAGAAAAAACTACGTTCATCACTCACAGGGGAACGTACTGCTACAGGGTCATGCCATTCGGGTTGAAGAACGCGGGAGCTACCTATCAAAGGTTGGTCATGAAAATGTTCAAAAACCGGGCATATCTGCATGGCTAAAGGCAAACAAATTTGCGTTAGCTATTAAGAATTGACTAAATTTACCTGGGTTTTGGAGTTTGCAACCGATGTAGGCCTTTTTGCTAGGGTCGGTGTGGTCTAGCAGGACGGGATCGAGGTCCTCTATGGTCGACCCTACGGCTTCGACCGTCTCTAGGTCCATAATGGTATCTTTGGCTTCGACCTGCAGGGACCTCGACCCTGCTGATTACTTTGCTTCCTTTTCTTTCTTTTTTTGGGTCGTCGTACCGTTCTGGGCGATCCAATAGCATTCCCGAGATGTGTGTTGTTCTCGTCGTATGTTGAATATTCCCCGGGGGTCAGGAACTTGATCACTTGGTACAAGCTGGAGGGGGCTGCCCTCATAGGATGTCGACCTATGATGGCGGTGAATGCGGTAACCTAATCCATGATATGGAATGTGGTCTCTAGCGTCACCCCACCAGCAAGGACGAGGAGTGTGATCTTGCCAGAAGTTCGTTCAGCTGCATTGTTAAAACCGGTTAGTGTAATGCAGTGGGACACTATCTTATCCTCAAGTCGCATCTGTACGAGGAGCCGAGGATGGATGATGCACGCTCCACTTTCGTCGTCTACCATAATTCTCCTAGTATCAGTATCAAGCATCCATAAAGTAATGACAAGTGCATCATTGTGAGGGAAAGTCAAACCGTCGACATCTGACTCGTCGAAGATGATACTTTCTTTGAGGTCGTCATACCATTCGTGGGTGATTGATCTCTTGAGTTTGTGAGTGGTGGTGGACTTGATGTCATTGATGGAGGCGTCGTCACTGCCACCAATAATCATGTTGATGGTACGAGCGGGCGAGGGCCGCTTTGGTGGGCCTGGGCGTTCTCGACCCCTTACTAAGGTGTTCCTGCCTTTGTCGCTGAGTAATTCTTTGAGGTGTCCCTGCTGCAGCAGGTTCGCTACTTCTAATCTTAGAGCGTGGCAATCTTCCATTTTGTGTCCACGTTCTTGGTGGAACTCACAAAAGGCGTCTGACTTCCTGGTGCCTGGGTCGGACCTCATCTTTGGTGGTCACTTCACCTTTTTTCCGAGCTTCTCGAGTGTGTAGACCACCTCTGTAGGTGACACACAAAAGTTATGAGCAGAGAGTAAGGGGCGCATACCTTGATCGTTTTTGTGAATGTCTGATCTCGACCTAGAAGTATCGTCTTCACAGCGGAAGTTAGGGACGGGTGCCCTGATGTAAGGTTGATGCCGATCTCTGCCCCATTGCAGTACTGGAGGGTCTCTCCTCGCGTTGTCCCTGAGTTCCCTCCGGGGTTCGGATTGTATTGAGGTGAGTCGTTGGGTTGGCCCATTGAGGTCTTTGTCATCTGCCCTGACCTCGGCACAGTAGGCATTGATCTCGTCCCACATAGCCGGCGGGTACTTCATTAATCGACTCAGTAATTTTCTGGTCGCCTTTGAGCCTTCTTTGTGCAGCCCGTTTTGACAGGCTGCTATGGCCATTCCTTCGGAGAGGTTTGGTAAAGTCATCCTCACCATGTGGAATCGGGCTAGGAACATTCACCCTCGTTTAGGCTTTCTTGGCCTTAGCATGTGCCGTCACGAACTTGTCTTCTATCTCTTCGAATGTTTCTATGGAATAGGCCCGCAGCTGCGAATACCACGTTAACGCCCCTCCTGTGAGGGTTCCACCTAATTTTTTCAACAAGATGGAGGAAACTTGTTCTTCGGTGAGGTCGTTGTCTTTTACGGCGGTGACATAGTGAGTCGCATGGTCTTCGAGATCAGTCGTTCCGTCGTAGATTCGGAGGTACAGGGGCATCTTGAAAGTTTTTGGTATGGCATGAGAAGTCGCTTCCTCCCTGTACGGCTATTCCACAAACCTACCAGCGTCTCTTTTTGGAAGCAGTTTGGGGGCATTTTGTCTACCCGTTCATGATGCTCCTTCATTTGTTCCTTGAGCATCTTGTTTTCGTTTTCCATTTCCTCCATTCTCTTTAGCACGGCGGCGAAGACGCTGTCACCTGCACTGTCAAACAATTGTATGAGCGATACCTGAAGTAGGAGGGTCGGGTAGCTCGCCTTGCTCGTTCCTACGCTGTGTTGCATGGATCCCGGTGGTCTCCATGGTCGCGCATGGAGCTTGCTTGCTTATTACGCTGTCCAGAGTGTCGCTCAACCATGTTTTGAGGAGCTTTTTCATGGCGGGTGGCGCTCCCTCTCCCGCAGACGTGGAAGCCCCTATCCCATTCGGTTTAGTGGTGTTACAAAAGGGTGTAGGTAGGTGACTTCCCTAATCTGGGGGAGGCCGTAGGGTTTACCTCCTCATCTTGGGTTTCATACCCTTCGTCGATGTCACTCATAAGGTTGAGCGGGACATTTTCCGTTGCCTTTGCTCTGTTTCCTTGGTTACTTGCCGTAGAATCCTTGTATACGCAAAGAGAAAGGATAACTTTACAGCACGTTAGGTTAACAAGTCACGAAAGTTGTAGATCCGAATGGAAACTAAAATTTGACTAAGAAATCCCCACACATGGCACCAAACTATATAACCCAAAATTTAAATCTAGATTTAAATACAATTAGATTTATAGAGAAAAGGATTAATCCAAGTCAATATAATATCCGAGTAGGAAATCTAGTATTTTTATGGAGAGTATCAGATGTGTACTATAAGATAAGAGTGTCTTAAAGCAATAATGGCTTAAGAACGTGAAAATAGCAATAAATGGCATTTAAGTAATAAATAGAACAAGGTTCACCTGACAAGGGTGAGATTTTACACTGAGCTTTCTGGCAATGATGGATGATGATAAGCAATTGAATATTCTGATTCTTCTTGGATCGGGAGAGAAAGATAGAAGAAAAGGAGTATAAAGGTAAACTTTGTATGTATTCAACAAAGAGAGAATCTTCACGGAGAATGTCAATGTTATTCATTACAGAAATGTTTGATCCCCTTTTCTAGAACTTCATCTCTTCCTATTTATAAGGGTACATGGGCCATAAAACCCTAGATAGTACAACAGAGAGGAATATTCACTAGAATATTCCCTTAGGAAATCAAAATCCTTAAATTAGTCGTTACTGCGTACTGAGGTCGGGTACTCGTCCTCGTCCTCGCCTTATGTCGAGCCAACTCGTCCTCGACGAAAATTTGTCTTCCTTACGTGACCTCGACCTTTGGGTCAGGTCGACACGTCACAACATCGACACGTCATGGCCTTCAAAGGCTTTATCTCCATTGACCAAGTCAAATATATGACGTGAAGTTTTTCGTCCATACAATTAGTAAACAAACAAAAACTAGATTAGAAGTCATATTCTGACAATGCTATGCAGCTTCATTCCAACTCCCACCACCATAAGCCCGGAAAACATTACCTACTCTTGAATTAAAGAGAAAGAATGAGTAGGGAATACTAGTTTCATCTAAATCAAATCATCTACAAACTGGAATTCCTAGTAGCAAAATGAAGATAGTAACACGTTCCTATTATTAGATCAATAGAGTTCAATGTCTACGGTGTTATTCATTTCTGTTGCATTTATATGCAGTGGCTGAAAATGTACAAGTAGTCCTGGATGTCTCCTACTATGAGCGAAAGAAGCTCATAAGGTCCGGATGTTTCCTATGTCCTGTACAATGGTCCTCCTCTTACACCAAAAATGTAAATTTTGTAAGTATCTAAATATTGTAAGCATGACAGTACATATGACTTGCAAATCATTTATTGTATGAACCATTTTTTCCAGGAGAATAAAATAAGAGTATGGAAGAACAATTCAAACTCTTTCAGATATTTTTTCTTTGAACGGGTAAGTAATGATTATATTGATAAAAAAGATAGTCTCAAACTCTTGCAGGTAAGTTTCTAGGACAATATCAGCAACCTCATTTATCTGGCATACTTTTATCTTTTGGATCTTTATACTTACAGTTTCATCATTTAAATGATTCAATTAACTCAGAGCTAGCATCATGTCTAACCGACCATCTATCTAAGGTTCTCATAAAGTTGAACCTTCCTACAAAGGGCAAACAATCTCCCCAAGAGCTCAAATTACCATTTTATTTTGACATTCATGCATGGCTCCTCACAACAACTCTATATCTTCCATGCATTTGAGCAGTATTTCAGTTTAATCTTGTATTGATTCAAGAACATTAATCTATCCATCACAGACCCCTCGCAAAACTAACTCAACTGTTACATGATACTCAGGGACCTGAGTACATTAATATGTTGTGTATCATATTATACATCAGTTGACAGATTTTAGTGGTAAAGACTCAACAGCGAAATGAACATCACCAGATATTGGATGAAATCAACCATCATTTCTCGGAAATAACAGCTCATCCATTGACACCATTATGACGTATATCTCAGTATAATCACATAGAAGGATTGCACGAAGAAAATGAAAAAACAAGAACTAAAGAACTGTTATCTAATTTCACCTTTTGCATCAGTTGCGAGTTGCGACTATGTCTGAGCACAGAAGATTGTTTTTGTGGCGCAAAAGAGAAGCAGACACATCCTCCATTGAGTTGCACCCATTCAATATGACTAACCAATCCTTGATGCACACAAAAAAATTTATGAAGATGAGATAACCTCCATATAACTCGTATCTTTAACTACTCTAACCAAAAGAGAGAAAGAGTGTCAAGAGAAGAAAAGCACACACCTGCATTGCACTGGAACCAAGAACCACAAAGATTTTCGCTCCCTCTCGAAGAACAGGGTACTCAAAAGTAGTTTAAGTGTGAAATAACAATGACAGAATACGGGGTACCAAAAGCAATGACGGAATGAGTCTATTAGACCACTCTCAAAATTCTCGGCCATAATTAACAATTGACAACATCATTGTAGAGGTGTCCATCTATGTCAGGGACAAATCCCTTCTCTATCATTTCTTCTCTGATAATGTCATAGGTAGTTCTATTGGGTACCAATCCTTTTTCCAACATCTCATTCAAAAAAGCATTTGCTTCTCCCAACTTATCTTTTTGACAGAAACCTTTAATCAAGACGTTGTAAGTAACAACATTCGGTTGTTTTCCTTCCTTCTCCATTCTTTTCCTAATAGTAACAGCTCCCTTGGGGTTTCCTTCTTGGCAATAGCCAGCCATCAAAGTGTTGTAAGTCACGTGACTTGGGATCAGCCCTTTCTCAGACATCTCATCCAGAAGTCTAACTGACCTTCTTGATTCTCCCCTTTTGCACATTGCATCTATTCGAATATTGTAAGTTACTACATCAGCCCTCACACTCTTCTCCTCCATTTCCTCTAGTAGCTTTTTTGCTGCTTCAATATTTCCCTCTCGATAATAACCACCCAATAAGCAATTATATGTCGAAATGTTAGGACAAATCAGTTTGTTCGACATCAACTCACGTAGTGCGACTGCTTCTTCCATTTTGCTAGCCTTACAATGAGCATCAATAACTGTATTAAAAGTAAGTACATTAAAATCTAACCCTTGCTTCATAACATCATCAAACAACTCTTTAGCCTCTCTGAACATCTTCATTTTTGAAAACCCATTTATCAGTACATTATAAGTCCGAATATTAGGCTCCAACCCCAAACGTAACATTTCTGCACGTAAACCAAGAGCCTCATCAACTTTCCCATCACCAAAGAGCCCATTAATTAACGAGTTAAACGTCACAATGTCCGGTCTCATCCCTTGAAACCGCATTTCTTTAAAGAGCTTCATAGCTGCCCCAACATTGTCATCCTTACAAAACCCATCAATAAGAGTATTATAAGTTCTCTCATTTGGACTCACCCCCTGCTCCACCATTTCTCTCAAAAATGCATCAGCTTTATACATCTTCCCATCCCCACCTCTCTTGCAATACCCATCAATCAATGTATTGTAAGTAACCACATTCGGAATAATCCCCCGAACCTTCATATCTTCCATCACATCCTTAGCCTTATTCAACTTCCCCGCCTTACACAACCCATTAATCACAATATTAAATGTGTACATGTCAACCTCAATTCTCCTCCTAATCATCTCCTTATACAAAAGCTCTGCTACCTCAAATTTCCCCTCATTCACCACCCCTTTAAGCATCGGTTTACACGACAATACAGATAACTTAAATTCATAATCTCCAGCTCTATTGAAAGCCTCCAGAGCTAAATCCAGCTTAGCATTATTAACATAAGCTAATACCAACATGTCAACAATAATAGAATTAGCACAAACATTATCACTACAAGTCAAGAGTGTATGAAAAACAGAAGAAACCGTATGGGTTTTCCCATACTTAACAAAATCATGCAATAAAGATCGAACCTTTGGGTATCTTTTATCATTGACTAACAAAATAAGCAGTTTGAATAAATGGTGAAGAGGGTGGTAAACCTGATAACCATGTTGAGACCATTTAAAGAAAGGCAAAATGGAGGTAGAATCAAAACCAGAATCAAAAAGTTGTTGGAGAAAATAAGTTGGGTTAATGGGTTTAATTAGGTCCTTCAGTTGAGACCAGTGCTGCTTTGAAATCAGTTCTGAAACTCTAGATTTGAAAAGTGGGTTTGAAACCAAATTGGGTGTTGAAGTTGAGGATGAGGTTGGCTCTGAATTAACTGAAGATTCTGTGAAAAGGCACCGAAGGGGTATTCGGGTGTGTAGACAACGCCGAAGGTATGATACCGACATGGATACAGGCGATGAAACTGCAGGAGAAAATTTGATTAGCAACAGGGATTCGTGCAGAACATTGAGAAACACGAGCAGACTACTAAAATAGGACTAAAATAGTCCAATCCCTATAAATTAAGGGCCATTTTGATCATTTTCTAGCTTGTGGTTTTGAACACAACTATTCGTTGTAAAAGCCAAAAAAATTAACTATGTTATGAAACAATAAAAGAAGAAGAATAGTATTGTAGAGAAAATCAGAGAGAGAATTCTTATTGATATTGAGATGAATTATAATGGAATAAAACCCTCTATTTATAGGGAGAGGGTGACTTAGCCACCAAGTAATGAACCCTAGAATCTCTCTAAATATAGACATTCACCATAAATAAAATTCTATTTATAACACTCCCCTTGAATGTCTATTCAACAAATAGTGTGCCTCATTAAAATCTTAACTAAATAAAACCCAGCGGGAAAAAAATTCTAGAGAAGGAAAAAGAGTACACATATCTAATAATACGTCTTTTGGTTGCCTCGTTAAAAACCTTGCAAGGAAAATCCAGTGGGACAAAACCTTGTAAGGGAAAAAGAGTGCAACGTGCATTAACTCCCCCTGATGAGAGCATCAATTCACATCTTTAAGCATTTGCATTCCAATCTTGTGCACCATCTTCAAAACGGTCTTTGGTAGAGACTTGATAAACAAATAAATCATATTAACTCGAATGAATATATTGCATCTTGAAATCATCATTCTTGATAGAGATGTAATGTCTT